TCTTTCTTTTCCTCTTCTCTCTCTCTTTTTTTCTGTTATGTGCTGTTTTGTTTCTTTCTTCCGCTTACGCCAGTAAATATGATATCACCTACTTTTCTAACACCTTCAAACACTGTTCAGCTTTACCTTTGCTACCGACATACCAGTGTGTTGTTGTAATAATGAACTGAGATTTCCTTAATCTATGTAGAATTCTATTTATTGATAATGTACTAACTGGATGCAATACTGTATTTAAAAAAAAATGCTGAGAATTCCATTCTGTATCACAAGTACTGTTTTTTGGAATAAAGCAAATTATTATTATTATTACTAAGTTCCAATAAACTCGTTGGTGAGTTGCAGTGTCTTCTCATTTATTCGCCTGGTTTAATCCTTGATCGGTTCATGAGTATAGCCTTCTGAAGAGATTGTCTTCTAATAGCTTCTTTTTTTCAATGTTTCACTGATTGAATTTTGTTCCATTAAGAAGTTGACATTGAAATTAAGCAAAGCAGCACGATCTCAACATCTGAAAGGTAATGGTTCTCATACGGACGGCTATTTTGCGCTTCAGTGCAAGAATTTTCTTCTTTAGAGAAAGAAAGACCAGATTTGCAGTATAAAATGATATCATCATTCTATTTCACAGGTTCCCCTCATCAGCTGCTGCAAACTACCTGAAATTACAATGGTTATAAATAATGACATTTCATACTTCAATGTTTGAAAGGTAATAAAGAAAACATTATAAGATGAACGCATCCGGAATATAAGCATTACAATTTTTAGTTTAAGTCACCATCAATTTATATGCTATCAAACTATGAAAAAAGGGGGGTGAGAGACGACAGGAAACAAAAATATCTAATAAACAGTGTTAGCTTATATGTCAACATTGCAACTCAAGAAGGTTAAAGTTCATCAAATTGAAGACTTGCTTAGTGAGCTGACCTCACTTGTGTGTGCGTCGGTGGCTCTCGCCGATCATGCACATGGTTCGAGGTTCGATTCCCTGCCGACGCACACCCGATATCTATGGTCGGCCTGAAAAATTTGGGCTACCGATATCCATGCTGAAAATTCCATACTTGTACTGAAAATACGGTGTGTCATCAAGCTGTAACCAAAATAAAAAAATTAATGGTATATAGCTGTATAGCTGTTGCGTCATTCCGATTGCATGTTGTACGATGTTAAATCGATAAACAAAGCTTCAGTGATTAACCTCTCTCTCTCTCTCTGGCTCTTCATCCAACTATATGACTTTCTAATACACGCATCCTGTTCAACCCATCCTATTGTATGATTACATGCAAGTGGATGCAGTGCAATGGCTGAGCTGTGTTTTTTTTTCTAGGGTATTTCACTTATCATGTTCAAGCATTCTAGGTTTAGCTGAATTTTTATACTCAAATTAATCATCTAGTTGACCGCAATCTCTAAGTTTTGACCTATGTAACTGACCTCACTAACAGTCATCACATGGTATTTAGTAAATTATATTACTTTTTTTTCTTAATTGGATCTATTTGGTCCATAAAAACCGACAAAGTTTATCACTGAGATAGTTGGTTGATGTTTTGGTTTAATTGGAGTGCAATCGGGATGATTTAGAACCTACACAGGAGAGATAGAAAATGATAACAAACAACAAAGGGAAGTTGGGTAGACAGAAAGAGAGAATATATATATATATAATTTTCAAGTATTGGCTTTTGTAAACATTTTAGTTCGATTGGTTGGTGGATTTCATCATGAGAAGACATCAGTTAGTTAGAGAACCATTGGAAAAACCAGCCACAGGGACTACTAGACAGTCAGCTGTTTCGTCCTAGTTTAATACTCTTGATCAGCAGGCACCCACCGCCAGGGTTCGAACCCAGGACCTTCTTGTTACAAGGCGAGTAATCTCGTGGACCATTAAGCCATTGGGACCCACCAATCCAATGTTCAGCCCACCAAATCTAACTTCTACCAATTCATGACATAAATGATGTCAGGTCATAATGAAATCCTCCAACCAATCTAACAGAATCCCTACAAAAATCAATATTTGAAAATTCATCTGATGCTCACTAGTGACTGGTCGTATTTAGGTAGTTAACCTAAGGTTCTAGTGGGAAGTCGGGACCAGTAGGGTACAGCAGGTTGAACGTGAGACAGTAACTCACTCATCGAAAAAGACATTGTGAATTGGTCGAGCTATGTCGGGAAATGGCAGATGTCAGAATTCATAGGCTGGCGATTGGATCGGGTCCCAGTGGCTCAATGGTCTACGAGATCGCCTTGTAACCAGAAAGTCCTGGGTTCAAACCTTGGCGGTGGGTGCGTGCTGGTGAAGAGTCCCAAACTAGGACGAAACAGCTGTCCAGTACTCCCAGGTTTTCCAGTGGTTCTCTAAATAATGTCAGCTCATGATGAAATCTTCCAACCAATAAAATATAAGATAAATTATGAAACCGTGTGACTAAAATTGATATGACTATGAACAGCAATAATTTTTGCTCACAACCACCTTGTCATCCAGTTGTTAATACTGCATCCGTGTTTGGTATTTTAAAATAAACTTATCTAATATGGAATTACACATTCAACCACAGCGCCCAACCCAAGTTCTACATTTACGCTGAATATTCGTTTAATCTCAATCGCTTTAGTGATACATAACAACTTGGAGCTGTCTTGAATCTATAGTTATATCAAAGTATTTTAATGCATCTATGTCATAACCACTAGCTTACAAGTAAGTGTTCGGTGATAATAGTGCTGTCAACTTTTGCACCTTTCAGACGCGTTTCTGGAAATACTCTCGCAAGTCATTCTTCCTGTTCGTCTGATGTATGTGCTTTAGCAAATACACGTAAATAGGTGTATACAAGTGGAAATAACATTTAAGAGGGCGGGGGGATTTTTTTTTTTTTTTTTTTTTTTTTTCCTTCACGTTCCCCAGTGGAACATAGGGCTTCAAGCTAGAGGCTTGAAGTTTCTGTAGCAGTGCTTATTTTACAGGATGGGGTTGCTAGCCTCATGCCCAACCTTTACTCTTCACCAGCCTTATTTCTGGCTTAGCGAGGTAAAGGAGTGCGTCGGCCGGGGATCGAACCCCGGACCATGTGCATGGTCGGCGAGCGTCCTAACCACTATGCCACCGACGCACAAAATCATGCCCCAGGTGAGACTCGAACTCACGACCTTCAGATTATGAGACTGACGCCGACCATGTGCATGGTTGGCGAGCATCCTAACCGCTATGCCATCGACGCACATACCAACCTTAGACTGTCTCAATGAGTATTTCATTTGCTAAAACTGTGACTATTCTGGCAGCTAGATAAATTCAAATGAATGCAGAATTAGGGAAGATAGATTTCTTTTCTACTAAAATTAGATGTCTTCCTAATAACTGGTATCCTATTGTGTTTATCAATGAATTTATGAGGATATCTATTGTTTCGTAAAAACACTTTCTAAAGACAACAAGCGCACCGTGAAGTCTTTCACGACAATGCTCTTCAGTGCAGTAGAACATTCCCGTCGTGAAACCTTTTTTGTAGCCTAAATTGGACAAAAACCGTTGAAATTCACGTTTAGTCTATTTCAAAATTCTCCATCATGAATATATCTCTGTATCCATCCATCCATCCATCTGTAGTCGGTAAAATTCTGGGATCAGGGAAATGATCTGAAAGATATATATATATAACGACGTCATTTTATCCCTGCTCAACATGTTCTTCTTGTTCTGTTCAAATAATAATAATAATTTGCTTTATTCCAAAAAACAGTACTTGTGATACAGAATGGAATTCTCAGCATTTTTACTACAGTATTGCATCCAGTTAGTACATTATCAATAAATAGAATTCTACATAGATTAAGGAAATCTCAGTTCATTATTACAACAACATATTGGCATGTCGGTAGCAAAGCCAAAGCTGAACAGTGTTTGAAGGTGTTAGGAAAGTAGGTGCTATCATATTTACTGGCGTAAGCGGAAGATAGAAACAAAGCAGCACATAACAGAAAAAAGAGAGAGAAAAGGAAAAGAAAGAAAGAAAATGTTGTACCTCTAAAGTGTATGAGTTGGAAAGATGAGATCCAGTTGTTCTACTGACTATTTAATGAATTATAGGTGTCACGCCTAATGCTTTCTTTATCGCACAGAACACGAGCTAAGTAGGGTATGGTTGAGTTTTTGTACTTGCTTGCTGGTGCGAGCATATAGTTTCTATATATAGGCTTCTGGTTTTGCCTGATGAGATGCATAGGGGAGAGTTGTGAGTGAAGAGGGTGGTGTGAGTTAGATAAAATGGATTTGGCCCATTTTTCACATGAGTCCATGTGCCTGTCAGCCAGAATATTAACAAGCTGGTTAAGTGGCACGTTGCTTACCCTGCTGACAACCTTTAACATCCTGCGTAATATGTTATAGTCTTTCTTCAGTAGCCCTGGAAAAACTAAGGGGGAACAATAGAGAATAATAGGCAGAATGCGGGAGTTAACGAATTGTAGGAGTAAGGGTTGGGTTATACCAGAATGTCTTAACTTCTTGATGTAGAAGGTAAGACGGAATATTTTCTTAGAAATCGCCAAGATATGAGATGACCAGGAGAGATCAGCGGATAGAATGACGCCTAGGTATTTAATTTCCGACTTGGTTTCTATTTCAGTGCCATCTATGTTGCACACCTCGTGAGAGCCAACCAGTTTGTTTAGGTCGGATTTATGCCTAAAGGTGAAATTGACTGTTTGGCATTTGGAGGGGTTTAAGGTAAGACCGTTTTCCTTGGACCACTGGCTGATTTCTGACAGAATGTATCAAGAAACACAGTTGTGTGGATTCGTCACATAGTCATTATATGACATGTAAGAAATCGTATTGTTTTTCCTAATTCAGTCTAATAGGGGGGGTAGTAACCCGATAAAGTTTATCTCTAAGTAGTGAGTTGATTGTTTTTATAAAAAAATGTGACCCGAAATGTAATTCTATCTCTCTTTTATTTTATCTCTTCTTCAAGTCTTTAAAGCAAAACCGCCTACAGAACCAAGTTTAGCCCAGTACAAACGTTCTGCTACACAACCAGATAAACAGAAACTAAAACTCGAGGATAAATCAGACGTCTTTCATTCGAATGGTTATACAAAATCACCTGAAGCCAATCATATCTCATCACCTTTAAATGAAATAGCCAATATCAATTCGACAACAACAACAACGAATGCGACTCCCGCCAAAGTAGCATCTAAGAATGGTGATACTGCTGATCAACTGATGACGGATAATTTTGTTGTTCATATTGCTCTTGGTCAACATGGCGACAAAATGTATGCCGATAATAGTAAAGAGAATCCTTCATATGAATCCCTACAACAATATGGTAAAAATGCTACAATTCTAGCCGCTTTGAAACGTTTATTCACTAATGTAGGATTTGTACTATTATTTTTAAGTTATGGTAAGTAATTTACCTTTTTTGTTTGACTGTGAACTATTTGGTTTTTTAAAAGTCTTTTTCATTTAATTATCTTGTGAGAAGACATTCAGTGAAGAGACTGTTTTCGGTGAATTCATTCACACAGCTAGCTGCACAATCACATTTATACTCGTTACAGGATTTCATCATGAGCTGACATTGGTTAGAAAACCATTGGAAAACCAGCCACAAGGAGTACTGGACAGCTGTTTCGTCCTAGTGTGGGACTCTTCATCAGTACTCACCCAATGCACTGGGGTTCGAACCCAGGACTTTCTGATTACAAGGCGAGCCAGCTCGTAAACCATTGAGCCACTCACTGTGACCCGATCCAATGGCCAGCCCATGAATTCTAACTTCTGCCGATTCACGACATAGCCTCATCTTCAACCTGCTGTACCCTACTGGCCATGGCTTCCCACTAGAATATATGTTAGCATAATGTCAGTATTGCTCACCACTGTCTAGTAAGCAATACTGGTTGGTTTGAGTGACTTCAAACTACTCCCATTAGTCAATCAGTAGTATGTAGCCTCAATAGTTCATATTTCACTTCTTAACTGTTATTCATGATATCAACCAGATCTTATATATTCTAGTCTGAATTATTTCTCTAATCAAATGAAGAAAAAGGCTCTGTTGATATAAGTGTAAGACTTAGGCACTGTGGTAGAGTATAACTCCATTATGGATAAGATTTTATTTTGATAAATCACACAGTGTAGTGTTATACAGTAATATTTACTACTGATGACCACGTTTCGAGCACAAACTACTGCCACTCATAATCATATCAAGTCACTCACACAACTTTCTTGCTGCATTTATATACATGAGTATTAACTGATTAGACATTTGAGTAAAAATCAACATAAGATAATGTACATTCAGAAATAATAATACAAGTGTTATCAATCAAGCACAATCAGACGGGAAATAAGTAACTTGTTAGAATGTTGTGATGTACTTGAATTGAAATAGAATTTTAAGATTATTTATTATCCTCTGGTGGTAATAATATCTTCCATATCTCTGGTATTTGCATTGAGTCATTTCTGTTGCATGTGTTGGGTGTAGACTCAATGAACCAGGATTCAGTAATCAATCTCTCTCTCCACCTACCTATATTACTTCTTAGAATTTTAACCCTCTCCCACCCTATTGTGTGGTTGTGTGTTAATGCATGCAGTGCAATGCAGTGCTGAGCTTTTTTCTAAATGACTTATCTTCTCGGGGTCAACCATTCTTACCTTAGCTAAATTCTATTGTTCCGACAATCTGACTACCCCCGACCTACTAGTTTCACCTATGTAGTTGACATAACTCACAGTCATTGCAAGGTATTTTGTAAATTGTATTATTTTGTCTAAGTGGGTCAATGTACAGGGTCCTTCAACCCCAAAAGAGCTTTTCCTAGCTGAGTGAGTTTGTAGGTTTGAATGCCACCCTCTAATTCCTGCTTTATTAAGAATCCTACGTAGGGCATCAGATGTCCCCTCCTTATATGGTATAACAGTAGATGACTTATATTCTCTCTTATTTATGTTATCATTTCTGGTTTCACAATTATTTTTTATTTGCTTTTGGCCTTTTTCGATCTTTCTAATGAATTTTATAGGATAGTTATTTAACACCAACGTCCTCTTCTGTCTGTTTTATTTCATCATTTAGGTCTTTTCTTGTGCTACTTAGTGCTATTGCTCGGTTTGTTAGGCACTTAACTAAGCCTGCCTTAACAGTTAACGGATGAGATGAATTAAAGTCTGAATATCTATTAGAATGCGTTGGTTTTCTATAAACACTAGTGTGTAGTTTACCTTCTTCTATTCGTTTTATTTTACAATCTAACATAGCTAATTCTCCTTGTTCATTTTCCGATTCAAATGTGAATTTTATTCCCTCTACTAGTGAGTTTATATGTGTCTTATAAGCTAGAGATATGTTCTGCTTTTAACACTGTGAAAGTGTCATCTACATATCTCCACCATATTTTTGGAGTAGGATTAAATGTATTAAGAGCAATATTTTCCCAGCTGTCCATAAATATATCTGCTACGATAGGGGATATTGGTGATCCATCCCATTGCTACACCTTCTGTGTAAATTACAAGATGTAAACTTGATTTAGAGCCTAATGAGTAGTGGGCTTGAATCCCGTCGCTATCTAAGTCTTCAATTCATTATCACTTCTCCAGCATAAAACTACTTCAGATGGTGTCAGAAAAACAAAACCGCCATGATCTTGTGTGTGTAGGTCACTAATTAAGAGAAATTCTTTTACAAACTGACTGACTATTAGTCACATATTTCTGATGTTTTCATTATTTATTATGAAAGTATTTCAAAGTACATGAGTTACTTAATTAATTAGTTAGTTAGCTATTATGTATGTTTGTATGTATGCGTGTGCGTGCTTGTTTGAATTGTGCGCATACACTGTAAACGTATTGTTCAATGTGTTCAATATAGCATTGATCAACGTTAATGAGTTTTGGTGAATCAAATAAATAAAGTTCAAGGTCAATTCTTGAACGGAAGCCAAAATAAACACCTTTATGATATATTGGATGTACTGTAGAAGTCTGACTGATTGATTTCAGGGTTTGACTTCTTTGGGAGTTGACACCCAATTCAGAGAAGCATTGAAAACCTAAGTGCACTGGGTGTCTGTGTTTCTTGGCGGGATTAGTCTGTTCAGTAGTGGGCATCTATGACACTATATCAGCAATCGGAACCAACATCTTCGCGTTAAGTTGTGTGTCTGTTGACTGTTAAGAAAACGAGTTAGGAATCTAACGTCTCATCAATCGAAATGCTTGAAGCCCAAAGCTTGAAGGTTAACTCACTACTCAGTAGTCAGTGATTACGAAATATATAAACATCCTAAAGTTGTGTTGCCAGTACGGTCTACCAAGTCACTGGTGTCGTTGAGTGGAGATTGACAGAGATCAGAATTCTCGGGTGATTATATTCCAACTCGCCGGTTGAATAGTCAACATGCTTGCGTCGTAGCATGAAAGTCTTTCAATGAATTACCACTTGTTTCAAATAGAATATTTTCTAATTCAACTAAAGCTTTCTTAAAGAATTTCAAGGCTTAAAAATGACTATCTCATATTCTAGGGTTCTTACACTCTACGACAGATTTCCACACTCACCAACCTCGAATAAGGAAGCATGGAAAACCAGGTTGTATTGAGTATCTGTGTTATGTTGACTTGAAAATCTTCAGCAGCTGGCAAGTTGGACTGATATCAGAAGTGCGGGTATCTATTGTCATTACAGAATTTGTACTCTTGCCGTCTTATTTTCCGTTACTTTTCTCCTGGTGAAATCACTCAAAATTGTTCAAGGTGGCTCAAATGAATTCATTCTTCATTATGTTCGAAATTTGAAAACTTTTTCTTTTAACACTTGCCTTAATTCATCCCCCTCAGTCGTACATATGTATATATATGTATGTTAGATGTTTGGAGGCACTCCGCGGGATGCGCCGCTTGTCGGCATTCGTTAGCAGCAGGATGTATCTGCAACCTGGAAGGAATGAATATCCGTGCCGATACTGTATTCTTGTATATTCTATTTTATGCGGAACGAATCACTGAGCTAAGTGCCATCATCGAACTTAGCATAGAATGACAGTTAAATATCTACCTCAACTTCATTGACTTTGAAAAGGCCTACTACAGCGTTACTCGTGAAGTAATTTGCGTATTAGGATCAGTAATCTCAGGAGTGGAATGACTAGATGACCGCAAAGATAAAACTTATCAGTGAAGCACTTCGATTAGTTTAACTTTGGAAGACTGCATACAACTTCCGTTGCTCTGTTGTAATAGCAACTAGACTTGCTCAGCAAACGGAAGGACACCACAAAAACATCCCGTTGAAAATTAATGACTTGGTACTGTAATGAATTATACAAAAATTTCGGTTTGTGTTAGTCGCCAAAATATATTATGCCAGCACTGAACTGAATAAAGCTGTCTCCAAAATGTATTATGGCTCCAACTGACTTGATTAACCTCGTCGCCAAATATGTTGTAACGGAGTGTAACTGTTTTTGTCCACTGTTGGCTATTTGCATCCGTTCCACACTGAGGTGGACAAAGAAGTCAGATTTAACTGAGACAACAACGCCGGTGACAACAATAACCTTTATTATTCACACTGCAACAGAGTATGTAATATCGTTTTCGTGTCAATGGAAATTTAAACAATAATCGATATCTGATTGATTGCATGACCTTGAAAGCCCTCCTAAATTAAATCAATCAAAAATTGTCCAATCAGGTTATTATGTCAGCTCATGCATCAGTCATAACTTCAAGCCTAGCAAAGATAATTCATCCTAACAAGAAGATTTGGACTTCACGAGTGACTTCAGTCAGGTGTCAAACAACAAGCACCAATGACTATCAACGAGAGAAATTTGATGGAAACCACTTTTTTCACCTGTCGCCCTTGAAAATGTACCAAATTAAATACTGATGGGTTGGACGTATGTTGAGCAGGCAATTGAATGACATCACGTGTGAGGTTGGACCTAGAGATGAGGCAGAATAATTAGTTTAACGTTCGAGGCGGAGGGCGGCGGGAAACGGAGGAGATTATGTGAACAGGAAATGAAGGCTCATGCATAATCATGTGGCTAGATAACAGAGGGTTGCACAGAAGTGGGTGAAACGTAGATCTGTAGCTGAAGCTTCATCTTTTAACTGGATAAACCCGAAGGAATAATAAGGAGATATTCTGTTATGTCGTTAGTGCAGAAACCGTGAAGTCCAATGTTAACAGAGAATTTTGTATTAGGCGACTTTATTCGATATTTCTTTCTGCGTATTACGTGAGACGATAATAACCATACCATGTGACATAGTTATACTTTATTTAATTCCTGCCTATTCAACTGCCTATCTCTGTTGTAACATGTATACACGACACATAATATTATGTGCAGGGTGTATAGTCGAGCGACAACA